CCACCGCGAAGGTGCGGATAGCACCCGGCGACAGCTCCATCAGGTGGATGGGGATGACACCCCATGCGCCTTGCACGCAGAATTGTTCAAAGAAGGCGGCGGCCATAACGCTGTGGTTCGTGACAAAAGTGTAGGGGTAGAGGAGCGCGCCGCCAATAATGCAAATGAAGACGATGGAGAAGCGGCGACCAAAGATCTGACTGGCCCAGCCGCACGTAGTACCTCCGGTCAGGGCGCCGAGGTTGGCGACGACCTGGGTAACAGTAACGGCATCGGCGGAGAAGCTGAATTGGTTCTCGAGCATGGTCGGGTAGAGATCTTGGGAGCCGTGAGACTGGAGTTTGGTTAGTGATGCTGAATCGACTAAATTGAGCAAAGTATGCATCCAAACGTACCATGAAGTTGAAGCCAGCCATGAGCAAGACCAGATAGATCAGAAGCAGCCAATGTCTCTTCAGGGCTGTATTACCCTCGGACAAGAAGGTCGTAGTCACTCCACCGCGAACATGCTCTCGAGTAGCCTGACGCTGAAGGAAGGTATCGGTCTCCGGCAGGAACATCCGGTAGATGATGATTAGCACGGGCGGACAGGCCCCGAACCAGTACAGCGGCCGCCATCCGTGGGAAGTGGTATTGACCAGGCCGCGTGCAAATGCGGTAGCCAGCAAGTATCCAAACGCATAGCCCTGCTGCAGCAAGCCAGACACGATACCGCGCGCCTCCATGGGACAGTCCTCAAGCGCGGTCGCCGCGGCATTGCCGTACAACCCACCCATGGCGATTCCAAAGAGAGCGCGACAAGCCAAAAATTGTTTGTAGGTCTGACAGAAACCCGTACCCAGTTCCAACACGACAAACAGGAGGTTATTAATGATAAAGGGCCACTTGCGACCCCAGCGATCGGCAGCGACTCCAAATGTAATGGCGCCCACAGAGCGGAGCATCAGCACCAAAGTGATGCCCCAGGTGATGTCGGTGACGGATTTGTCGAAGGTCTCTGCAAGATCAGTGGCAGTCAAGGACACGGTGAAGAAATCGAAAGCATCCCAAGTCCAGCCGGCAAAGGCAACCTAGAACCGCGGTTAGTCATGGCGCAAGAAGAGGGTCCGGCGTTTGAGGTTTGGAATGAAACATACCCCAAAAAAAAGCCATTGCTTCCGATTGAGGAGCATGAGCGCCTTGAAGGGATTGGGAGCTGGGTTCATAGGAGGCACCAAGGTTGTAAGACGAGTGGTCATGTACTTGATGGGACTCATCGTGGGCTGCTCATCCTCGTCAGTAGCTGATAGCTGGACGGGAACGGGCGCCCCGGTGGAGGGTTTGTCCCCTTCGTGGTAGTAGTGGGACATGATGGAAGAAGGGAGGAAAGAACCACGGCGAGAGCGCGTCTACGAGCGCTGCGCGGTTGGGGAAATGAGGAAGAGAAAGGGATGACCTGGTCGGAGAAAAAAAGAAACGAACGAGCCATCAGCTGGCGGGGAGCAGGCTTTTATGCCCCGATTATCGGGCAGAAGGACGAAGGCCGCGAAATTGGAACAGAAAGCCGACGACGGTGAGCATGGCCGGACAGGTGCCGATCCCTCCCATGACGAGCAGGAGGAAGATGCATCTTCCGGAACAGATGGGTCCCATCAAGTCATCTGGGGAAGCTTTGGAAAGCTAGAGAGGAACAGAAAGCAACGAGAGAGGTTGGAAAGCTTAACGCCGCCCCTCAACCAGAGTTTCTGGGCAAATCGTAAATGACTGGGGGATTTCCTTAGTCAAGCCGGATGCCATCATCGCGCTCTAACACTGCTTGTTGTTCCTTTGTCTTTGTTTGTATGAGCACTATATTGATTTTTGACACATCGTTGGCCATGTCAATTGTTCATCTGATGTCATTGAGTAATCTGAGAGCCTACTGCCTTTATTTCTTTTTGTGAAAGAATGTTAAATCGCTCTCGCTGTGTGTGTGTTTCCCCCGCCAAGATTTCCCCAGATTTACTGCCAAGCGGCTCTCCAGCTCCAACTCCACCAGCCAAGCCCGCCTTGCCGCGGCTTGTCTCTTTCTCCCTCTTCTTGTTTTCTCCCCAGGTCTGGGCTTCCATCTATGAAAAGTCTCCATCGTATTCTCTGTTCTATCTCCTGTCTTTTACGCCGCAATTCAACGGCCGCACAGGGTCCTATCAACTCTGAATAAATTCCAGACCGCCAATGGCCGCCGGGGTAAGCGAACAATCCAGAATTCTCACCCCCCGGCCGTGCGTGGCTCCATCGCGGGGTAAAACCCCGAGCTATCCTTACCCTTAGTTCTATCTAGTTCTGTCTAGTCCCAGACTACCAACTCGTCTAAACTTTTCACTCTCCCACTGGCATCCCGTCAGCCACCAACTTGCTCGCCAGGTTTCTCTCCCAACGAATCAACGGTTCTCGGCCCGGACACGAGACCCAGTTCGTTCCATCCCAAAAATCCTTCTGCGCGCGGATTTTGCCCGAGCGCCCCTCTCTCGTTGGCCGGATTACAATGTTTTTTTTCTTTCCTTCCCTCCCTTGTGTCTTATCCATCGCTTCTCAGCTCCGCGGGGGTGCCATCCAGGGTGAATCAGTCCCCATCTCGGCTCTGGTCAGCTGGTGCCGCACAATAGCCGGACGGCAGCCAATCCCCGCTGAGTGGAAAAGAAATTGGCCACCGTCTTACTTAGGAAGTAGCCTATATTCCTCTCTGGGGTGCCTTTCGATCATTAACCTGCTTTGACTCACCGGTGTGGTGGTCGCACAGAACGCCTAGATGTCCGCCAAATGGTTACATACGCGTACAACTTTTTTTTATGTGACAGTTCAGTTCATAGTAATACCCTTGTGCGATGTTCATCATGATGATTCCAAGACTCGATCCTAGGCCAGGCTGGAGTGATAGTACACACTCACATAGACCCCCGCCTGGCTGGTATACGCTAGCGACACCCACGAGTGAAGCCGGGCAGACTGCTCGAGGTCTTCATCCGGGCTGTCATCAACGTCAGTCGGAATAATTGTGATCGGGAAAGGGCAGAACTCACAACAGATACTGCACGTTAGCCACATAGCTCCGAGCCTCGTCCGCCCATCCGAGCGAGTCAAAGAAGCGCGCCAGCGTCTTGGCCACGAACATGTCGTTCCTCCCAAGAAGTGGGAGGTACAGCTTCGGGATGGGCTCGTCGCGGCCCGGTCGGATCTCATAGTTCCACATCAGTATTGGCGCCTTAGAGGAATGTTGTCCTTGTTGACCGTTGCCCTCCAGCAATCCCCATAGCCGTCGGACCAACTCCAGGCCCTGAATCGTAGCCGAATCCTTCAGCCTTCCACCCATGGTCCATACCTCCTTAACCTTTTCCATCCTTAAATCTCCAAGTACCCCATAAACCTTGATTCGGGACTTGGCCGAATCGACAAAATCCCAAGCCAGGTATGTGTACTCATTGAATCCCCCGCCTTCCTCCATGTACTCAATCACCTTCTGAACTGCCTCACTGTCTCTTCTCTCTGCCGTCACATTCAGCTGGTTCAATGAATCACAGAGTAATCGTTGTATAGGCATGCCAGACGCCTTCTCCTTCAGCCTGAGAAAAACATACCCCTTCGTATCCACACTAGCTGCCCCAACCCTCTCGAAGGTGAACCCTATATTATACATCGACTGCACTGAGTCCCTCTTAAACTCCCCTTGTTTTACCTCCAATGTTTCCATCTCAGTGATTCCAAAATCCCTAACGAAATGATGGTACAGCATGCGGTCAAGTCCTCCCAATGTAGACAGTCGACCTACCAACCGCTCTGTAGCAGTCTGATTGAATCGATCGTTGGATGTTCCCGCGAACTCACAGATCGGCTCAATGCCCACACGAACAGTCGATGCGTGGTTATCCTGAAAATTAACGCTCATCTCAATCGGCAAGTCCGTATAGGTCATAACGCTTGGCCAGCGCTGCGGATACGGTCCGAGAGCGGGGACAATGTGATTTCGTGTGAAGAGTAGATATTCGAATTGCATGGGCACCGAGTAGCCGGTTATTTGCAGCAGCCGGCCAAGGAGTGGGCCAATGTTCCGCCACCAAGACGATTCGGCGCCATTGGTTGAGGTTTGGTATTTCACGACGATATCCCATGGTTTCTGGGTTGACTGGGCGTCGGGGCCAGCGTTCGCCTTCTGATTTCCAGGTAAGTCGTCAGGTGGTGATGCTTTCACACCTTTTGGATGAGATGAAGCTTCGTCCCTCAGGAAAGGTGAGGCCATTTTGCTTTAAACTATCTCTCAGGGTGATGATGCTCGCAGATCTTCTGGTTCAAGAGGTCAATGTATTGCCCTTATACAAAAGGCAGTATGATCAAGGATTTCACGTTCGCACTCCGAACGAGGTTGAGGAGTGTCGTACTTGTTTGTTCTGCGGGCATATATGCATTCTAACCAGAAAGGCACAACAAGGCGGACACAAAACCAATAGTACCTGTGTAACCATTCAAATGCAACGCTTTTTGAAATTCTTAACACTCCACTGCAGGTAGTAAATTTTCCGAACTCCGGTGTTACTGCCTGAAGTTTGTGGAGCGCATTGGCGCTGAGAGACTGGGGTTAGAGTTAACCGTGTTCCAAGAGAATATGAGGTGCTTGAAAAGACCTAGTTTTGGGCCATAGAGATACTCTTCGGTAGGCGCAGATTAGATCCCTTTACTGTTTATTCTGGAGAAGAAACTTTCAGGACTAGCTTAGTCCCCTTAATTTAAGGTAAGAGGGGGGCTGGTGTGCAGATGGGTTTACAACAAACAAAGATTGGACAGATGTGACACCTACCAGGAACATCGTACGACCTTAAATAACTGGCGATCATAAGGCTCAACCTGCTATATGTCACAAGCATAGTACCAGTTCAGGCGATGTCAAGGGTGGGTGCTAACCCGCTTAAGGTACTCCAGGACCGGCGTCTAAGATTGCAGGAAACGATAGAACGACTGCGAATAAGGTATCCCAGATTCAGGGCCCATACATGTCCTGCTCGGGTTTCTCCGCTTCATGCGACTGTGAGAGCAGATGGATAATATTGCCGCACACTCGGAGAGACCTTTCAGAAAATAGGGTAAGTCGACACAAGACCGGCATTGGTTGTACCACCAACCGAACCCATCAGGAACACTAGGCAGCATAGATACACCTTCACTGTTGCAGGTCTTCGTTAGATTTCATGTCGCTCTTCAGCAATCTCTAATATCACTAATACCCTTCTCATTAACAAGTTTGGCTTCAACCCCGTGGTCATGATTATGGAAAGTGGACGACAGCTACAAGCTGGAGCATTTATTCTAGGTGTGCTAGCTCACAGCCTCTACTTTCGCTCTGGCGAACACCATCTCTATCCCATTCGGTATCTATACACGTATGGTGGCTTGTCGATACTAATTGCTGCAACAATTCATTATGCACAAAAAATTTCATTTACACGAGCAAGCACCGCATCTCTGAGCCTAATGGCTACACATCTGCTGGGCCTATACTGCAGCCTCATCATTTACAGGGTGTTTCTTCATCCGCTCGGACGGTTGCCCGGCCCCCTAGGTGCACGTCTATCTGGGTTCTGGCTACCAGCAAAGCTTCTTCACCAACCCCTCTACCAGGTCCTCGAAGAGCTGCATAAGGAGTACGGACAATTTGTGCGCATAGGCCCATCTGATCTCTCCATAATCCACCCCGATGCCGTAAATATCATCTATGGATTCAAGTCCGCCTGCACTAAAGCGCCCTTCTATGATCTCGGTGCACCAGTGCAATCGCTACATGCATATCGAGATAAGAAAGCTCATGATCAACGACGGAGAGTATGGAGTCTAGGTTTCAGCGATAAATCACTTCGAGCATACGAAAAACGCATTCAAGTCTATCGACAAAAGCTCATCGATCTTTTAAACTCGGCCGCTGGTGATCAAGCCATTAACATCAGCAATTATCTCACATGGTACAGCTACGATGTGATGGGCGACTTAGCTTTCGGTAGAACTTTCGGCATGTTAGATGCTAGTGCCAACCACTGGGCAATACAGATATTGAATGATTTGCTCAAACCGTTAGAATACTCCGTGCCTATTTGGGCCCTTCGGCTGCTGGGCTCGACACCGGGGATGAACAAGGATGCTTTGAGATATGAGGAGTTTAGCCATCAGCGCTTGAAGACGAGAATGAGGGTATTGCCTTTGAGGCTTTTTCTGCTGTTTTATGCTCGGGTAAATCGCTCATGCTTTTAGGAAACGCCCGAAATACCCGATATCAGCTCGTCGCTGCTCGTGGAGTTGCAAGGACGAGCACCTACAACTGAAGAATTCCATCAGTTACTTGGGGATGTTGAATTGATAATTGCAGCAGGGAGGTATGCAGCTCTTCGAAGCTATTCTTTGTAGCAAGACAGGCTCACAAGTGAACAATAGTGACACTACCGCAGCAGCTCTAATCACCGTTATCTACGAGCTGGCTAAACACCCAGTACACGTAAAGATGATCCGCGAGGAGCTAAGCCTATGTGCTGTTGAGCCTAGCGGGGAGTATATGCACGAGAAAATAGCAGGCTTAAGACATCTCAATGGGTTTATCAACGAGGTGCTCCGTCTACATCCTCCAATTGGAAGCATTATTCCTAGAAAGACACCACCGGAGGGCATCATGATCGGTGACACCTACATACCAGGAAACATGACAGTCTCTTGCCCGCAATGGGTTATTGGAAGATGTAAGTGGACTATATGTTCCCTCAGTCCGACAAAGCAAATGCTCACCTTTCTAGCCGATGTCTTCTACGAGAATGCAAATCGGCTCCTCCCTGAGAGGTGGTACAAATACCCTGAGGCGATGAAGTATAAATCTGCCTATGCTCCTTTCTTACTCGGTGGGTTATATCTTTGTTGCTGAATCTGCCAATATTCTAAGGGAGGAGGCGCTACCGCCACACCAGTTAGGCTTCCTCCACACCAGCCTTCGCTCATGCTACACCCTCCGCCTATCTTATAAGGTAAGATCCCATCCATTTAAGGTAAGACTTGGCCCTAGAAAAGGCAGAATCCTACAACCTGCTACTCTTAGGACTTTTGTTCCTGAGGCATGGATTTGGTATCTCAAGTAATAAAATTACCCAGGTTGGGAAAGCAGTAAAACAGATCGAAGAGGCTATATCTTAAATGGATGGGATCTTACCTTATAAGATAGGCGGAGGGTGTAGCATGAGCGAAGGCCGGTGTGGAGGAAGCCTAGCGCGTCTGCCTATTCGATCACGCCTGTAAGTGCGAATCTGACTATTCCAAGGCCCCTACGCATGCATCGGTAAGCCGCTAGCGCTCATGAACATGAGGACAACTGTTGCCCGTATAACAATGACATTTGATTTGCAATTGCCATCGAACGATGACGGCACATTGCTCGATAAGCATATGAAGGAACATTTCTCTAGCTACGTCGAAGGCGTCTACATCTTCTTTAAGAACTTGTAGGCAAATTAATTGTCAATACAAAGGATCAAAGATACATGCTTTTGATCTATCTAGATCTCAAGGGGTTGGGTGGTTGGTTGGTTGGAACAGGTGGTGGTCGGAGACCACGCAGGAAGAAGAGGCGAAGGATCAGCTGACAGCTGCCTGGAAACGTGCAGAAGCGTCTTGTTGTTTGTAAGTGTCTGATAACGAAGATGATCTAAATACATGCAGTAAAACGGGTGAAGAAGATGTTGTGTTCGAGACCTCCCTCCCAAAGGGGAAGGTGCCCGTGGCATATTGAGCACTAACTCTGCACTGGACAGTTCGATTCACGAATACAGTCCCATAAAACCAGCCATCATGTAAAAGGCGGTATCAGTCTTTTACACGAGACCCTTGATTTCTGAGACAGCAGATTTTATTTTCTCGTCGTACTCCTTTGATAACTTGTGGTCGGGGGCGAACTCCTCCTGGCGTTCAGAGTCATGCAGTTTCAAAGCGTCCACCAGAGCTTTGCGGGCGGCATCCCATTGTTCAGTCTTGATGCGAAGGGCTTCATTATGTTCTCGCTCAAGTTCTTTTTAGTCAGGTAATCTCTTCTCTCAGTTCCTTTTTGCGTAACTTTTGACCTTCGGTAAGGTCCCTTGTCGGGGGCAAAACCCCCTCTGGGATAACTACACCAGCATCCTCGACATCAGCTGATCTCTTCTCGTCGGGCTCGATCTCAGTCTTGTATGACTCATCATGAGCGGCAAGTTGGTCAACCAACTCCTTGCGCGAGGAAGTCCATTCATCTTTCTTGCGGTTGAATTCTTCACGATATTCGTCCTCCAGCAACTTTAATCTGTGGAGTTCGTCACGCAGCTCTTTCTTGCGGAGCTTCTGGGCTGGTGTCAAAAGTCTGGTTACCGGCAGCACGCCGGCAGGTACAACGATACCCGCGTCTTCGAGGGCATCAAGAATCTATAAACTTAGTTAGTATCAATATCTATCATGACATAATCTTCTAATATAGAGAGCTTACTTTTGACCGTTCAAGTTCTGCCCTAGTGGGCCCACGAGGAGTGGGAGCAGCGGCGATGGCTCGGGAATGTCTTTGGCAAATAGTCAGTAACGTATGTAATTGTCTTGAGAGAAGAACAGAAGTTCAACACTCTTTTCGCTCATCACCAGAGTCAGAGTCCATCATGAGATAACTTACTACGTATCTTGATATGGGGGTGAAGGCAGGTTGTAGATGGCGAAGAGGAGAAGAGAAGAAAAGAGAAGGAACAGACGAGGGAGAATTATATAGAAGATTGTGGGCCCTATACCCTGATATCCCAAAAGGGTCTGGTCACGATTCACATAAGGTGAATATCAGAGGGGTGGTCAATACAAATCACGGATTCAGGCAAAATCGATATGAGACATACAGTCGACACGGGAGTAGCGAGATGCGTTCCCGAAAACAAAGTGAATTCAGGTAATTCACAAGCAAAACAGTCATGAGGTTAAGGACTCCGTTGCAAGGAAGCGTCCTTCAGGTATTCTAGCTAAAGAAGTGGGGTATCCTCCCAAATTCTTCATATCACTCATTCTTTTTCGCACAAAGCCAGAGGATATTTTTTCAATTCAATTCATATTCTTATACCTGATCGAGCTCGCTAAGTAAGATGCTGGCTATGCAGGTGCTTCACCGTTTGAAGCAGGAATATGGCCCCGAACGCCATCAGATCCCTCAAACTTGCAATAAACACATAAAAACAGCAAGTGCCACGACATAGAAAGATCATCATCATAGCTAAATACAACTAAACAACAAAAGCAGACATAAATATAAATAAATATTACAGCTATAGCTGCCTGCAAGCCACCACCTTCAATTTTTATCTATTATCTTGCTTCTAACATGCCTGTTTCTTCTATTTGTTTGATCTTTTCTGCTGACTCAAACAGAATATATAACGTAACTCCCGGCCGCGCCGGCCACCCACCTACTACACACCCAATGTGTTCCTAACTTCCTACATACAAACACCCTCCCCCTCCCCTCTACTTGAAGCTATTCAACCACCAACCATGCCACCAATACAGTCTAAAGCATCAAAAGATACAGCAGATAGTCTTTAAAGAAGGCATCTTGATCCAGGAAGTAAGAGTTAAAATATAATAGTAAGAGTTGAAATACAATAGCAAGAGAAGATCCAGGCAGAGGAAGCAGTATCTTAATTACCTGCTCGGATACCTCCCCGCTGCAGTGAGTGCTATATAATTGGTCACAGAAGAAATGAGTGTTCAAACCTCTGTAATTAGTAATAATATGTAGGCTTTGCTAATAATAATGTTGTTTGAATAGCTTCATTCTTGCTTGCGTTGGGTGTGTAGTAGGTGGGTGGCCGGTGCGGGCGGGTGGCCGGCGCGGCCGGGAGTTACGTTATTATTTCTTCTACCTAGTGTCTTCAGTATTTATTCCCATGGCCCTGAGACTTATGTGTTCCTGGCCGGGATCAGACTTTTCAGGGTCAAGTTCAACCTAGCTGAATTACCCAAGCAGGCCTGTTTGCAGCATAAATTTAGTAATATAACGGATTGCCTGCAGGTCTGGTATAATCGAGTTATAATCAGTACTAGCTTCCAGATCTGTGCATGCAGCATTCTTATTAGATATCTGATTTCACAGCCTTACAAAGCAGGAGTATACTAGCAGTATATACTTTAAAGTCTGGGATCCCTGCCTGCAGCTGTAACAGTCACTCTCCTGTGCCTTAATCTTGTAGAGAAAAATAGAGAAAATGGGCAAGGCTAATTCTCTGCGTGTATATCTATATAGTTACAGATACATATACCTTTGGCAGATTCTTATAAAGCACGAGGATCTTCTTCAAGGAGGCTTTTACTAGATATCTTATAGATATTACTGTATACCCTGTCTTCTACTGCTTAATCTACTTCTTCTAGAACCTGCTGCGAGCGGTTCTCTTGGCAGCGGATGCAAGCCAGATTATTTATTGTTCTAGTCCAGTCCCATATTCTGCTGCCTGCTTCACCTCAGAGTCTGCGACCTCGTTCCCTTCAACCTCTATATGGGCAGGGATCCAGTGGATTGTTAGATTGACGGGGCCTGCACCTTGCAGAGCTCTGAACTTACTGTAGATGGTCCTCACGTATAGCTGTTCAGATGGACGGCCGGAAGCCCCTACCGCCTGGATCGCAGCCTGACTGTCAGTAAAGATGTGGGTTTCATCAGGGCTGCATCTCGGTAGGGTGTCCCCCGCAAGCCAGAGGATACCTGTCTTTCTTGTGTATAGGCCGTAAAGGTCTGTGTCACGAAGCAACGTAAGTCTTAGTAAGACCGGCAAGTGCAATGGTCAATGGGACAAAGAGGCAACCACATGACTACCTAGCCTCTCCCTCCTAGCATCGTCAATTTTGTGTGCCTCATCAGATCATATTGCACTACGTGCTGCATCACTTCTTAAGTCCTTTGGGCGACAGCATCGATATCCATACTACCCATTATGTCGGATTCATCCCGCCAATATCATTACAACAACCAGTACGATGACCCACAGAACTGCTATGGCCAGCAAGCTGCTGTATATAGTTACGGAGATACTCCTGGCAATTACCCTTCAGCGCAATACCAGCAAGGACAGCCTTCGCAGTACGCATACAATCAGGCTCCCGTATGTCTATCCAATATTGCCAATCCCGTATGCGCATGCCTCATGGGTCGTAGATAATCCGTGGAGATAGCAGCAAGCTAATTTGTTAGCCTACCATTAATCATTATGTGAATACATCCCCTGGCAGTCATCCTGCACAATATCAGCAAAGCTATGCACCTTCCTACGACGCAAGGCATTCAGATGGACATCGGCATGAGCAACCCACATCCATGAGTTATGAGCAAAGCTCATCTTATCCACCACAGACTCAGCATCAGCAAGGCCAGAAGGTGTCTTACTATCAGACGCAGTCAGAGCCTGTTCCTACTACAAACACATCCGGAGGTAAAAAGGGGTTTGCACCGAATGTAGCCGGCATCATTAGTGGGGGCGCTTTAGGTCACAAGCTGGGAGGTGGGATGCTGGGTGTCGCAGGAGGTGCATTGGCAGGCGCTGCAGGCATGGAAATCGCAAGTAAACTGTAAGTCTGCCTGTGATGATGGCTGGCATACGTACGCTGACATGTGCTTTCCCTAGACGCAAGAGGCATAAGAAGAAACACCATGGCAAGAGTTCCCGTCATTCAAGCTCCAGTTCCAGCTCAAGCTCGAGTTCAAGTTCCTCTAGTGATGGCGATTAGTTTCGTGTGGTTCGCACCTTTATCCTTCTATGTTCGGTTTGTATTGAATGCGCCCTCGGGTGTTCGTTATCAGTTTCCAAATCAATTCACTTCAAATTGTTATACCCGATCGAGTCGTCTTCTAGCTATACAGGTGCTTCACCGATTGAAGCAAAGGATATGGCCCGGAACGCCCTCGAGCCCCTTAAATTCGCAGTAAACACACAAAGCAACGCACGCCCCAATGTAGGAAAGTCATGGCCGTAGCAAATACAACTAAATCACAACAAATCATAAAATCAAGCAAAGCGATTTCATACAAAAGCAGATATAAATGAGTGGCGCAGCTGGCCAGCTATCCCTGCTAGCCTCTGTCTGCTGCCTGCGAGCCGCATCCACCCCATTCTTCGTCGTTTATATTCGCTATTAGTGGTAGGGCACATTTCATTGTATACGTAAACCAAATTGTCCACGCGATAGTTAGTCCACAATGGCAGAATATTCTACATGGCATCATACGGAGAATGACTATGTAATGTTGAGACATTCACTCCAGCCAGGATCGGCTACCTTTTCCAACTGTCCAACCCAATCTCTTGAGAGCAGATAGATCAAATGCATTTGCCCCTTCGCCTTGACATGTAATGATAGAAAGGTCAGAATGTAGTAGTGTCTCATGCGCTCCAGTGTAACAATGAGGGGAAAAGCTACACCATCATGACATCGTCGCACAGGTCAGTTGGCGGAGGCAAATATAGAAAGGGAAAAAAAGAAATCCGAATGCATCATCCGTGAATCGAACACGGGCCTCATCGATGGCAACGATGAATTCTACCACTAGACCAATGATGCTGTTCACATCTAAACGTTCTATGTTTTTGCTAATTATTCCAATTCTGTACTGAGCAGTTCTCATGATACGATCACACGAATCGATCAAACAACCCATATCATTCAGTTAGCAAATGTCTCGATCTCTTGATATTTCCTCGTATCTAAGTAGACATACATCCTCAGCAAAATAACGCGTTATACTGCGACCGAACGATTATCTTCATCAAGTGCAATGACTAACTACAATGAACGGGTCTCGTCAGTTGGACTCGGGATTTATGGTATATTAGTACTAGATCACGACATATCGAGAAACGTCGTCATGTGTCCTCGCCATGCCCTAATTGTATCACGTAGATAAATTTAAGCCATGACAGCATGGGACGGCATGAGTCGGTCAAAGGCCAGACCTGTGTAAGTATAATTCTTGCGCTTCGTCAACATTCCTGACGCAGTTCTGAGGCGGGAATCACGCACGCTACGTCCCAAGCAGGTAACACGGGTTAAATTTCATCAGGAGCCTGAAATTGATGTAAACTGAGACAGGTGAGAGCATGATTACTATATCTGTGTGGCTCTCTCTACTTATAGTGCTACGGTAAGATAGGCGCGACGCAATTGTCTGATAGCAGGTCTAGATTGATGTCCAGAGTATAGTAAGAAGTAATTCCCTCTACCAAGGGCGCTGAAGGTTAACACCCGGGGCAACACCCAAAAGGGATAGTAATGGTTACTAATGACTCATCATGAGATAATCATGATGGTTAGTGAAGGTAGAGAGACAATTTGTGTCTGCCAAATACTTTTAAGGGTACTTTGCCATCTCGCGAAGAGAGGAGAAGAGTATTGGAAGTGCACTGTAGAGACTGCGAGGTGTCGGTAGAAAAACAACGTGTCGACCCACATCATGGGCGAATAGCGCTCACGAGTTCAAAGAAGGTTCCTACTTCCACTATTGATGTGGCAATAGCGTGGTGGTTGCAAGTTGCCACTACAGATTTGGATAATTTCGCGGGGTATAAGAAGTGGAAGGGGATCCGGAGAAAATTGAACTCAAAAATTCGATAGCCGATAAGAGCGATAAGAGGGGGGCCCCCCGTATTCTGAAGACTGACGGTGCACATCGTAAGGCACGGTTCTCGGGTTGGCTGAGGCGGCAGGCCTGGATGTCACTTTGAAGAAGGGCTGTAAAGACTTGGTCTCAACACGCCAATCGGCGACATAACGTAAATAAACGTAAATATAGCCAGTTATATTTGAATGCGGTGAGAAAAGCCTGAGTAAGACAAATGGCGGTGATGCGTCGACTCCTGCAATGAGCCATTGTTTCAAGCGTGTGTTTGCGACGCTTAAACCCCGGAATTATGCCTGAGAGTGTTTAGTCGCCTATCCCTTTGTGTTTGGCAATAATAAGGCATCCATGACTCTCTGGGGAACAATCTCCGGGCGCAAAAGTATAATGCTCCTCTTCTTGACAACATGGTTATGCTTCGGGCAGGATTTTCCCAGGCCTGCCTGCATCTAACCACATAATGCATCGACAAACCACCATTCAAATCATGATGGCGCTGCATGCTGGCACATACCTTGATAATGTCCTTGACACGCCATGAATCCGGGGGTGCAACATCCTGAGAGATACTCTGTAGACTGATAATAATCTACTGCGGCCGGCTAGTCTCCGCCCCTCCGTGTCATCATGGCTTGGTTGGCCCTGCAGATGCTGCTGCTTTCATGCCGGTCGCCACCTCTAATCATTCCCGGGGTGAAGTGGCGCAGCCCCCCTTCGAGACAGAAAGACTTCAGAAAAGGGATAACAGAAGGGGGTAAAATCAAAAATCATAATAATGAAAACTCTACTAAGTTAGAGTTACCAAGAGCCATGGCCCGGAGCCAGATCGTTCTCCGTTTTCGCCCGTCAGCCTGGACCGGCTCAAGGTATGAATAACTAATGGCTATTGATGACTGGCTAGTCTGAAGAGTAAGTACTGAATTGTCCTCACAGCATTGCTACGCTGGCATACACATATGAAGATGTTCGCTCCGCCATAAGCGACGAAAGCCTGACAATAATTTTCCCAGACTCGGGATGGACAACGGTAGGGAGGATTCTGCGACGTTCCAAGTATCCTCAGAAGTAACAATAAGGGGGAGAAAGGGTGGTACAGAAACCGGCTGTGCTCAAGATCCTCTCAGCCCTGTCAAAGAAAGGGGCAACTTGATGATGCTTGCAAATGGCTCGATGATCTGAAAGGGGATTGGCTGGCAGCGCATCCCATATGTTACAAAGTAGTAGAAAGTATGTAAAAATAATCACAATCCCTCTTGACGGGGTAATATCGGTCGGGGAAGGCTATCCATGATATTCCAAGATATCCGCTCCCACTGCTCCATCTCCTCTGATTCCCGCACGGAAAAGAGTCGGGACGGACGGCAGGAAGGCGATGGCCAGGAATAACCTTCAAAGATCCATGATGGCAGCGGGCAGACCGTGAGGATGGAGCGAACCTGATGGTTGAACAGCAACCAGGGCAACCTTGGCTGAGGGTTCAACGCGGCTGACTCAGCGAAAACGGGGAATCAAGCCAATCAGCGGCTGCATATAGAGTCATTCACGAGCCACGGTTGGTTGCTTCGACAGCCCATCGCCGCTACACCGGAAACGAAGTTAGTGCGGGACAAATTCTAAGGAACAGCGAAAATTTTTTCATTAAAAGAGATTTTCTGGGACTGGCGGCGGGACTGAAAAAAGTTGGGCGGCGAAACGCAGGCCACAAAGCGATAAATATCACTTTCCTCCACCCACCTTCGCTTCCCCCCCCTCCTCCCTCCCTTTTTCTCCCCATCCTTCATCTCTCTCTTCTTAAGAGGTTTGCTCCTCTATCTTAAAAAATTTGTTTTGTTTTTTGTCTTTTCTCGGACAAAAAAATAGATTTCGCCTGTGCGGCCGTGTTAGAGCGTTTGCTGCGTGCTGTGAAATTTTCCAGACGCGGTTTCGTGGGCCCGCCACCTCTTATCGAGATACCCTAATAGAACGCTTTCCACCCGTTCTCGCTTCTTTTCTCCTCCTTTTTCTTCTTCCTTTTTCTTCTCTCCGACGTTACGACATCGTCTTTCACGATCAAAATGCCTGCTGTTGATGTTTCGTCCGTTCCTGCTGTCTCCGGCAAGGAGACTGCTCAGTCTGTCGCTGTCCTTGAGGACCTCATCAAGAACCTCAACATCTCTTCCTCCCAGGATGAGGTGAACGCTGCTGCCGACAACCTGGCCCACCTGTTCAGCGGCCCTATCCCCGAGCAGGCTCTCCCTCTCAAGTATGTATAACCTGCAGAATACCCCGCTCTGCCGTCTAGGTGGTCGGTGGCGGATGGCTAACATGAAAAATTTTCAGGGCTGTCGAGACCTTCCAGAAGCAGCTCAGCAACAAGAAGGATGCTGTTGTCCGTGAGCGTGCCTGCGAGGGTATCCGTGCTATTGCCTCCCACGCCACCATCGCTCCTGGTGTCGAGCCTCACCTCGTCACCCTCCTCGGCCCCGTCCTTGCCGCCGTCGGTGACAAGATGGTTCCCGTCAAGAACGCCGCCCAGGGTGCTGCCCTCGCCATCGTGAAGGGTGTCAACGGCAACGCCGTCAAGGCTGTCCTTCCCCCCATCCTCGAGTCCCTCGCCAACGCCCAGAAGTGGCAGGAGAAGCTGGCTGCTCTCGAGTGCATCAACGCTCTCGTCGAGACTGCCCCCGCTCAGCTCTCTTTCCGTGTCCCCGAGCTCATCCCCGTTGTCTCTGAGGCCATGTGGGACACCAAGGCCGACATCAAGAAGGCTGCCTACGCTACCATGGAGAAGGTCTGCGGTTTGATCGTCAACAAGGATATTGAGCGTTTCATTCCCGAGCTCATCAAGTGTATCGCCAAGCCCGAGAACGTCCCCGAGACCGTTCACTTGCTCGGTGCTACCACTTTCGTCTCCGATGTCACCGGACCCACCCTCGCCATCATGGTCCCCCTGCTGGACCGTGGTCTGGTTGAGCGTGAGACTGCCATTAAGCGTAAGTCCGCTGTCATCGTTGACAACATGTGTAAGCTCGTGGAGGACCCCCAGATTGTCGCTCCCTTCTTGCCCAAGTTGATGCCCCGTCTTGAGAAGAACTACGAGACTCTGGCCGACCCCGAGGCTCGTGGTAAGACCAAGCAGGGTCTGGACACCCTGTGCCGTGTCGGTGATGTCAAGAACGGCAAGATCCCCGAGATCTCCACCGCTGGTGACATCTCCACCGTCTCCGCTATCCTCAAGGAGATCCTCTCTTCCAAGTTCTCCGCCCAGGCTGAGAAGGCCGAGTCCGTCATCACCTACGTTGCTGCCATCGCTGGTCAGCTCGTCGACGAGAAGGACGCCGAGGTCACCAGCTGGACCCAGAACGCCCTTCCCTACATCGCTGCCATCGTTGGTGACGAGGAGGCCAAGCCCATCGTCGAGACCCTCCGCAAGCGCGCCTCCCCCGGTGCCGCTGCTGAGGATGAGGTTCTCTCCGACGAGGAGGAGGGTGAGGATCTGTGCAACTGCACTTTCTCCCTGGCCTACGGTGCCAAGATTCTGCTGAACCAGACCAGCCTCCGCCTCAAGCGTGGTCAGCGTTACGGTCTGCTCGGCCCCAACGGTACCGGTAAGACCACTCTCATGCGTGCCATCAACAACGAGCAGCTTGAGGGCTTCCCCAAGAAGGATGAGGTCAAGACCGTCTACGTTGAGCACGACTTGGATGCCGCCGATACTGAGCAGACCGTCATTGGCTGGACCATCAAGAAGCTCCGCGAGGTCGGTGTCGAGACCAGCCAGGCGGACGTCGAGGCCAAGCTCGAGGAGTTCGGTTTCCTACGTGAGCAGTTCGAGGGTCCCATCACCTCCCTCTCCGGTGGATGGAAGATGAAGCTGGCTCTGGCCCGTGCCGTGTTCGAGTCCCCCGATATCCTGCTGCTCGACGAGCCTACCAACCACTTGGACGTCAAGAACGTCGCCTGGTTGGAGAACTACCTCTGCACCTCTCCCTGCACTTCCATCATCGTCTCCCACGACAGCAAGTTCTTGGACAACGTCATCCAGCACGTCGTCCACTACGAGCGCTTCAAGCTTAAGCGTTACCGTGGTAACCTGAGCGAGTTCGTCAAGCGTGTCCCCTCTGCTCGCTCCTACTACGAGCTGGGTGCCTCCGAGCTCGAGTTCAAGTTCCCGGAGCCCGGTTTCCTTGAGGGTGTCAAGACCAAGGCCAAGGCCATCATCCGTGTCAACAACATGTCCTTCCAGTACCCCGGTACCCCCAAGCCCCAGCTCACCGACATCTCCTTCCAGGTCTCCCTGGGCTCTCGTATTGCCGTCATCGGTCCCAACGGTGCTGGTAAATCCACCCTGGTCAACGTCCTGACCGGTGAGTTGATCCCCACCTCCGGTGACGTCTACCAGCACGAGAACATCCGTATCGCCTACATCAAGCAGCACGCTTTCGCTCACATTGATAACCACCTCGACTCCACTCCCTCCGAGTACATCCAGTGGCGTTTCCAGACCGGTGAGGACCGTGAGACCATGGACCGTGCCAACAAGATCGTCACCGACGAGGATGAGAAGGCCATGGACAAGATCTACAAGATCGAGGGCCAGCCCCGTCGTGTCATTGGTATCCACGCTCGTCGTAAGTTCAAGAACAGCTACGAATACGAGTGTTCGTTCTCGCTGGGTGAGAACATCGGCATGAAGAGCGAGCGCTGGACTCCCATGATGACCACCGACAACGCCTGGATTCCCCGTAACGAGATCATGCAGTCCCACGCCAAGATGGTTGCCGAGGTTGATCAGAAGGAGGCTCTTGCCAGCGGTCAGTTCCGTCCTCTGGTCCGTAAGGAAATTGAGGCCCACTGCGAGCAGTTCGGTCTCGATGCTGAGCTGGTCTCCCACTCCCGCATGCGCGGTCTGTCCGGTGGTCAGCGTGTCAAGGTCGTCCTTGCCGCCTGCTCTTGGCAGCGTCCTCACGTCATCGTTCTGGACGAGCCTACTAACTACCTGGACCGTGACTCTCTCGGTGCTCTGTCCAAGGCTCTGAAGAGCTTCGAGGGTGGTGTTATCATCATCACTCACTCCCGTGAGTTCACTGAGAACCTCACCGAGGAAGTCTGGGCCGTCGTTGACGGTAAGATGACTCCCTCCGGTCACAACTGGGTCCAGGGACAAGGTTCCGGTCCCCGTCTTGAGGCCAAGGATGGTCCCGAGGAGGTCGTCGATGCCATGGGCAACAAGGTCAGTTCAAACCCCCGTTTCTCAGATCGTTTGAAGCTTTTCGAGTTTTATACTAACCTCGCTTACAGACCGTTGTTGAAAAGAAGAAGAAGCTCACTTCTGCTGAGCTTAGGAAAAAGAGAAAGGAGCGTATGGCTAGAAAGAAGCGTGGTGAGGAGGTTTCTGACGACGAGGAGTTCTAAACACGAGGTTATAGCTCGTTTGGATGATTTTTATAGAGGTTACGGTCGTATGAAATCAAAATTCGCTTAATGACCAAACTTGTGCTTTACGAGTAATAATAACCTGATAGACAGATGCAGCAATGCCTGCAGAATCGTAAGATATGTTTATTTTGCGACCTACTTCGATAATGCGCTGGAAATAAGACTTCGTTGCAACCCGTCTGCCGATGCGGGCTTGCCAAGACTTGGTGTTGAGGTTGAGGTGAGGCTCATGATGGCGGTGAGGGATGGCAGAATTCGGACTTTATCAGCCGAGCCTCACCACGCCATACCACCCATCCACCCACCCACCCACCAGCCCACCCTCCTTCTTCTACATAATCAAGCGATGCACATCTATCTAAAGTATCAGTCGATATCTGGAGAAGCCTCATCGTCATCAATATCTTACGTCAAGACATTGCAAAGCATTCTACTCCTAAGCACTTTTACTAAAGCAATCTTTACTAACCGGTACTATTACTACTGTACTACTCCTAGATATTATAGTATTCAGAAGACTTCAAGTTACTATGCTCTGCTAAGTTAAGCGCTCACTTCACAGATGACTCTCCAAAAAGCATACCATGAAGCGCCCCAGCCAATTATTGAATCATAATGTCTTGCGATACTTGGGGTTTTACCGCAGGCAGACATATTACCCGACCCTGTGCCTTTGTAGACTCTTCCTATTGCTTCACCTTTCTTATCCTTCTATACTCACCCTCCTGGATTTGAAGTGACATATGCAAACTGATAAGCTATCGTCCTTTACCTCCATAGACTGTTATGTGCTTTAATTTTGATTCTTCTAGGCCTGTGGCTTGTTCCTCGAGCAGTTAGTGGTTCCTATGAGCGCCACTGATGATTCCACACTTGACCTCATTACTACCGCCCAGACAGAAAATACCCAGGATGAACCAAGTGAAGACTGACCGAACTAATAACCAATATCCTGGTCGATCAGACTCTGGCGAGCCAGGTCTTAGTATAGATCTGCATCTGCACTTGGATTTTTATGTGAATCAGCCCTCTATCATTCAGTAAGACTACACCACCCAGAGACTTTCTTCTTACCCTTGTTACTCAATTTATGCGCTCTGTGCACTGCGGACGGGAATATCCACGTACATAGACACTTCAACGGACCCTTCGCCTGCTATGTAGCTACACTCTCCGACCCTTCGCCACCGTCTTCCTAATTTGCCTCTCTTCAAACATAGCTTCCGATCCCACACATTTCAGAGCCCTAGAACACTCCCCGGTGCCTGGTGCCTGATCTGGCGTTCGTATCCTTCAAATGAACGTTTCTTAGGGTTGTCTTTCCCAATCTGGAAAGCAAGCCGTTACAGCCTGGCC